TGGCATCACTAGTGTCTTCTGCTATACTAAAATATTATAATTAAATGTTGAACTGTAGACATGCAAAACAATAAATTGAGTTGCATTATGTACACTAGAGGGCAGTAGTTTTACATGGTTTTTATATCTTACCAATTATGCCTCTTATATTTTGATAAATATGGTGTTTGACATTAAAAAAATTGCATAGCACTAAAAAATATTAAAATGATGTCGAACAGAGAATTTAGCAAAATATCGTTCTCTTAAAAACAAACAAACAAATACACACACGCACACACACACACTGAAAAAAATAATATGCTTTATCTAATCAATAAAATTGTGGCAACATATTACAAGCAATATTATTAATTAAATTGTACAAATTAGAATTAATTACAATGTTAATTTGATTAATTATTACTCAATTCTAATTTGTTCAATTTAATAAATAATATTGCTTGTAATCTGTTGCCACAATTTTATTGATTAGATAAAGCATATTCATTTTTACAGTGCACAGTTACTTGTTACTTTCTGGAAGTAAAACAGTGGAATGGTCAGCTCCATGTGGGTTTGTGGTGTGCCTCCTTGTTGGTTATACTGCATGCCTGGAAACTACTATCAGTGAATTTTTACCTTAAAGGGTTAGTTCACCCAAAAATGAAAATTCTGTCAGTATTTACTCACCCTCATGTTGTTCCAACCCCGTAAGACCTTCGTTCATCTTCGGAACACAAATTAAGATATTTAAGATGTTAAGATCGCTCCTGCATACAGTCCATAGGCTTCTTGAGGGACTGGCTCTTGCTGTCCTCGAAAAGTCATTAAAGACATCGTTAAAATAGTCCAAGTGACTACAGGGGCTCAATCTTAAGTTTATCAAACGACGAGAACACTTTTGTGCGCAAAAAAACAACAAAAATAACGACTTTATTTCAACTATTCATTTATTTCTCCCTCTGCGCGAGTCAGGTTACTAGTTTAATAGCGTAAGCTTCTGTTATTGTACGTCACACGCATCACACACACATGACCAGCGTCGGCCAATAGTGAGCCTACGTGTGACGTAGCTCTACGCAATCACACTACGTTAACTGACTTACAGGCTAATGGAGAAGGAAGTGAATAGTTGAAATAAATGCGTTATTTTTGTTGTTTTTTTGCGCACAAAAGTGTTCTCGTCGTTTGATAAACTTAAGATTGAGCCCCTGTAGTCACTTGGACTATTTTAACGATGTCTTTAATGACTTTTCGGGGACAGCAAGAGCCAGTCCCTCAAGAAGCCTATGGACTGTATGCAGGAGCGATCTTAATATCTTAAATATCTTAATTTGTGTTCCGAAGATGAACGAAGGTCTTACGGGGTTGGAACAACATGAGGGTGAGTAAATACTGACAGAATTTTCATTTTTGGGTGAACTAACCCTTTAACTGACTTACAGGCTCATGGAGAAGGAAGTGAATAGTTGAAATAAAGTCGTTATTTTTGTTGTTTTTTTGCGCACAAAAGTGTTCTTGTCGTTTGATAAACTTAAGATTGAGCCCCATGTAGTCACTTGGACTATTTTAACGATGTCTTTAATGACTTTTTGGGGACAGCAAGAGCCAGTCCCTCAAGAAGCCTATGGACTGTATGCAGGAGCGATCTTAATATCTTAAATATCTTAATTTGTGTTCCGAAGATGAACAAAGGTCTTACGGGGTTGGAACAACATGAGGGTGAGTAAATACTGACAGAATTTTCATTTTTGGGTGAACTAACTCTTTAAATAATGTTTTCAAAATTGTTTCATCAAGTCGTGACATGGTGTGCCCTCGCTTTGCGGTCCTTTATCTGATATATCCACGCTATGTAAGTGGGTTCGTTGCTCACCTCGCATGTTCTATTATGATTTAAATAGTTTATTTTGAAGTTTAATTTAACATGGTTTGTTACTTTATTTAAAATCCTTAGTATAGGAAACAAACACAGGACAAGTTAACAAGTTAACAGTTTATTAAAGTTTGAATGTATAGAAGGGTGCATACTATTAATATTCTTCTTTACTGTTTAAATCTACCTGGGTCCTGGATTCCATTCCATGTGTCGGCAAGCAAAAGAACATACAGGGCCTCCAAACTTATGCTGTTCATTTATTTATTTATTTTTAGACCTGTTTCATTTTTGATTGTTTCAGTTAACCTCAATATTAAATCTTTGATTTTTTTTATATGGACTTTATTTTGGAAATTACTTTGATTGTGTCTGCTCCTGTATGTAATTTTTTTTTGTGGATGAAATTAATCTTATATTTTTACTGCCTGTTCTTGGCCACACCATCACAGTAAGATTACCAGATCGGGTCACATTTCTGTAGTGTGAATGAGACCTTAGGAAACTACAAATTTGACTTGCTTTACAGCAAACATTACAATTGCCGATAGGTGGAGCGTACTCGACAGTAGACCACAACTACACTTTCATAAAATCATGCATCAAACTCTACCTTGTCTGTGGCCATTGATAATTCCAAAGCTGGTGCTGGATAAACCAAAGGGGTAATCCATCAGCCGGAAATTGAAGCCTTGCGGGAGCCGGCTTTGTAGCAGAACTTCACCTGCTGTAAGCATTCCATTAACTCACATTTATTTTGGCGTCACTTTGACAGCACATACTTTACATCTGTGTACCATGCACATTTCTGAAATGCACTTTCTGTAAAGCTGCTTTGAAACAATATGTTTTGTGAAAAGCGTTATACAAAAAATTAGAAATTTGAAATAATGAAACGACTCTCTCGACGCAGTATAGACAGGAGGACAAGGTCGCAGGCAATCGGGGGGACGTGAAGGGATAAAGTCCACTAAAATCGAGGGAGAAGCCCTCATGGACAACTAATACTCAATCTCTCTGTTTCTGTGATATTCGGAAGGAAATTATTCAGATTTCACTCGGCACAGCTGCTAGAAGACATACAGGTTGCTCATGTGACAGGCTCAGTTTGACGCCTGGCTACCCAGCAAGAAATAGCCCTCATTTCACCGTCTAGATTAAATATAAACCTGATATAGTCCGGCTATGTGTAACCCACTTCTAACCAAAAGAACATTGAATAATGGCTACATATAACTTTTTTTTCCAAAATAACTTGCAAAATGTATGATATTCCATCATGTAAGCAAAGTCAATTATGATTACAAGGTGTTTGGTTTGATTTCTTTGACATTTTCTATGTGTAGGCTGTGCATAGACACGATCTAGCTCATATAGTCAGCCCAGCTATTTATAGCTCACTTCTAGTCGAAACTGATTAATTGTAGTTTTAATCAATTATTGGGCAGGCAACGCAGAGATGGTTGATATCCCATCATGTTCGCATTGGGAAAATATCTACAAGGTGCCAGTGTCATATCATGACATGGTCAATCTGAAATCACGATTTAGCTCTAAATTGGATGGGCTATGCGCAGTCTCCTTTTAGCCCACCGGCGAAATCGAGGCAATCAGTGGTCTACGTTTAACGGCTTGGCTATAGTCCTGGGGCCCGTTCTTCGTATGTTGCTTAAAACATCCGAGATCAAATGAGACATCCAAGATAATATCATCATGCTCATCATGATCCGGCTAATTGGGTTCTTCGAACACTCCTGCCGGTTATGATTAGTATAGCTGGATTGAGTCATCTGAGATAACTGCCCATTCTCGCGTTGGTTTAAAAGGGGACATGTATCGATAGCAGAACCAGTGATCAGCAACGCTGCTATTGGCTGTTCAGCATGGCCAAAGAACATGCCCAGTTTTTCTCCCAAGCAGAGCAAGCGCATTTAATGGAAGGTTATGCTGAATTTCAGTCTTTAATTAAAATGTCAGGGAACACCTCAAAGTGTGCAAAAGTCAGGAGAGAGTGCCTGCAAAAGTAGAAGACAAATTAAATGCGCTTGTGGTGGCCATGTTAGATGTTTTTTTTTTTTTAACCCTTATTTAACCAGGGAAATCCTTTGAGTACAAGTCTCTTTTGCGAAGAAGCCCTGGCCAAGAAGGCCGCAGTAAAGGTTCAATAAACAATAAACATACAAGACACAATAAATACATTAACAATTACAATGCTTAAAAAGTAAAAAACAATGACCTTACAACAGTTAAAACTACTATGTAACAAATTAAAATATTATACACTTATCCTAATTTGGGAAGCAGGGACAGGTGCCCACTGTGGCTGTTTCTTGATACTTTACTAGCCTCTTAAAGTGACCAAAGGAGACCAAGATATCAAGTTTTAAGTCATTCTGTAATAGGTTCCACGCTGATGGGGCAGAGATTCTAAATGCCTGCTTCCCTAACTCTGTTCGAGCCCTAGGCACAATCATGTGGAGATAATCATTGGACCGCAGGGAGCGAGTGCTGGCCTTGAAGGATATAAGCCTACATAAATAAGGGGGCAATGTCCCAATAATGGATTTATATATAAACAATCGCCACCGGGTTAGCCTGTGCTGAGCAAGGGAGGGCCACTGGACCAGATCATACAGAGTGCAGCAATGTGTAAGGGGTTCGCACCCTGTAATGAATCTAAGTGCGCCATGATATGAGTCCAGTTGGTGCAAATATTTATTTGGGGCGTGCATATATAAGGAATCGCCATAATCCAAAAGAGACAAAAAGGTAGCCTCGACCAATTTTCAAAAAAGCAGGCCCTGTTCCTAAAATAGAATCCAAGCTTTAACCTAAGTTTCCGGGCTAAATTTTGGATATGAGCCTTAAAAGTCAAATGTTCATCAAGTAAAAGACCCAGGTACTTATACTCAGCCACACGTTCTATTACATTTCCCTGCAGGGTTACAATATTTGGAGTGATAGCCGTGGAGCTCCTTTTATTTGAGAACAAGACTGCCTTTGTTTTATTTGCATTCAGCGCAAGCTTCAAGTCAAAAAGCCTAGATTGTACAACATCAAAGGCATCCTGCAGGTATCCTCCATCTCTATACAGCACTCTGACTCTGTCTGTAGACATTATTGTCCGACTCGAAATGAACGTTGTAAAGGATTCCCGTGTAAAATGTTTAGCGCAGACACCTAACGTTGAGCCAGTTGATAGGGTTGTTGGAACAGCGTCATTAAAAATGAATTTCATCCACTGGTCCCTGGTAGTTTGGTCCGTTTTTGGTAGAGAAAACACATTTGAATGTTGATTCTGGCAGTCAACCACAGAGCAACGTGTGTGGTTACTACATTTATGCATCTTTCTTTACTGAATAATATGAGGGGGAGAGGGACAGCGCGGGCTTCCTCCAGCATATGTCTGCGGTGTCCATATATGGTATATCCTGCCCCGTCTTGACGTCAAGTCGGGGGAGAAATTAAAATCTCGTATTTGAGTGCGCGTGCACGTGGACTGGTTTACGAACCCTGGGGTAAACAAACGCTTCACTTTTGAGTATCGGCTTCCCGGCCAATGTATAATCGTTAGGCAATCTTAACATACATTGATTCTCGTGGAAAAGGGAAAATTGCAGGTTATGACTCCTTTAAAGCTATTCGTAAGGCCAAAGCAGATTTCTATTTGACAATAATTGAAAACGCAAAAGGGGATTCTAAAATAATTTGGAACCAATTGAAGAAACTTGTAGGACAGGATACTAGAAATAAAAAACATGTAGAAATTAAGATAAACAGACAAATTATAAATAACACAAAGAATGTACATGCTTTTAATAATTATTTTATTGAATCTGTTTCAACTATTGCCCAAAGTTTTTCATCTAATAATATAAAATTTTACCCGATTAACAAGTCTGAGCCTATTTTTAGTTTAGGGAAAGTAACAGAATCTGAAGTCTTACAGACAATAAGATCATTAAAGGCTTCTAGGATAGAGACATATTTGGTATATATATGTGTATGCTGAAAGAACTCAGTTCCACATTGTTAAAACCAATAACTAAAATGGTCAATCTCTCCTTCATTGAGGCAGTATTTCCTAGGGTGTGGAAGTCAGCTGCTGCATGTTGTACCAGTTTTTAAAAATGGAGATCCATTTTTAGTGGATAATTACAGACCAACCAGCATCTTACTTACAGTATCAAAAGTTGCAGAGAAATTAATTTCCCAACAAATAATATAACATCTACTGTAAATACTTCTACTGGTTTCAGATCTCAAAATTCTACGGAAACTGCAAATTGTTTTTAATGGAAAATATTAAACATCTATTGGATAAAGGGGGTGTGGTTGGAGTTGTGTTTCTCGATTTAAAAAAGGCATTTGATACTGTAAATTATAAAATATTATTAAGCAAGTTAAATAAATTAAATTTTTCATTAGATGCAGTAAAATGGATAGAATCATATCTATCGAATCGCCAACAGCCAGTCATGATTAGTGACTGCCACTCATTGCCCCTTGTCATGTCTACGGGGGTTCCTAAGGGTTCTATCTTGGGACCTCTTTTATTTTCACTTTACCTAAATGATCTACCGTCAGTTTGTTCAGACGTCTGCATTCAAATGTATGCAGACGACACAGTTATTTATAGCCATGGTAAAAACAGCCAACAAGTTGCCGAAAAACTTACACAGTCAATGGTTCATGTTTCTGAATGCTTACATCAATCTAGCTTGAAACTTAATATAAATAAAACTGTCTCAATGTTTCGAAATCAAACACTACAAATAATCAGCAAGATATTTATGTGTCAGGGGAAAAAATAAAAGTTGTGTCTGAATTTAAATATCTAGGTATCATACTAGACTCAAAATTGACCTTTAAATCTCAAATAAAACAAGTTTGTAATCGAGTTAAATTTAATATTGCAAATTTTTGCTTCGCACAATCAAACAATCGCACCTGTCTACTGAGGCTGCCAAAATGTTTATGTACAGTATGGTGTTGCCTCACATCACTTATTGCCTTACAACATGGTCACAAGCTAAGAAAACAATGTTAAAACCATTAGAGTCACTTTAGAAGCAAACAATCAACATTTTTGATAAAAAAAACATTTAGATTTCACCATTGTGTCATATTACAAAAGCATAAACTGTTAAGCTGGGAAAATTTTATGAAGTATTCTAACTTATGTCTGGTATATAAAATAATTCATGGTCTGTCATCTCCCCCACTCAGTATGTTTGTAAACATCAGGAACCCTTCAGAGCGAGGGTCATCTAGAGGAGACTGTGTTGTTCCTTCTCGGAAAACCGCATTCAGTCAGCATGTTTTTTTTTTCGGTTTCAGCAGCACAAGATTGGAACTCTGTTCCTCAGAATATTAGAGAACTTTCAACTTAATACTTTGTTTAAAAAGCACTTAAAAAACTGGCTCATATTACACCAGTCATGTCAGCATTAATAAGTATATATAATTTCTCCTGACCTGATCGTGCTGCCATCTGTGTCCTTGTTGAGTAACTGTTTTCAACATTTATATTTTCCCAAAATGTTGATAATATAATGAATTTGTACACTGTATTTACCTAATGGAATAGCGATTTATTTTGTTTTATTGTTTTATATTTTGTGTTTTCCTTGTATAGTTTTAACTGCTGTTTCTTTTTAAGGTAGACTATATTAACATCGGTCCAGGGACAATGGATGAAAAATAGTCTTTTGGCTAATTCTAGTACAGTTGCTGCTACTGGTCCCTGATGTGGGTCTGGAAGAGCTGAACCCAGGGATGCCCTTCACAACAGTTATAGTAATTTTTTTCTCAGCCTTTTTCCTGGTTGCTTTTATAAACAGACAATCATTTATTTAAAGGAGTCATAACCTGCAATTTTCCCTTTTCCACGAGAATCAATGTATGTTAAGATTGCCTAACGATTACACATTGGCCGGGAAGCCGATATTCAAAAGTGAAGCGTTTGTTTACCCCAGGGTTTCGTAAACCAGTCCACGTGCACTCAAATACGAGATTTTAATTTCTCGCCCGACTTGACGTCAAGACGGGGCAGGATATACCATATATGGACACCGCAGACATATGCTGGAGGAAGCCCGCGCTGTCCCTCTCCCCCTCATATTATTCAGTAAAGAAAGATGCAGAAATGTAGTGCACACGCGAGTTGCTCTGTGGTTGACTTCCAGAATCAACATTCAAATGTGTTTTCTCTACCAAAAATGGACCAAACTAGTTACCAGGGACCAGTGGATGAAATTCATATTTAATGACGCTGTTCCAACAACCCTATCAACTGGCTCAACGTTAGGTGTCTGCGCTAAACATTTTACACGGGAATCCTTTACAACATTCATTTCGAGTCGGACAATAATGTCTACAGACAGACTGTGCTGTATAGATGGAAAAGGTATAGTTAAGTAGTTTAATTACGGTTATTATAACGTATTTGTCATCTGCTTGTATGTATCCATTATTTATTAATATCCTACAAATCTGCTGTTTCGGACCAGGTCCGATGATCAAACATACTGATGAGTTTAATAAAGTTTATTATACATCACACAAAAGTTGAAGCGTCAGTTTTACTTCAGAAAATCACCGTAAGAGCTGAGTAAACACAATAAGTTATAGTATGTGCGTGAACGTGAAACAAGGCAAAAACAACACATGATACCAAACGTTGATCTCTATAACCACTGTAAGCTAAGAAAAAGTAGACTACATCTCCGTTAATGTAATCTACATTAAATAAAAGGTAAACTTATGTGGGAGAAAATAGCAACAAACGTTTTAGCTCCTTATTGATGTTAATGTATGTCTCAGTCAAAATGATTGATGTAGGCCCCGTCCACACTACTGTGTTTTCGTTTAAAAATGGAGAATTAAAACGAATACGATCTCCGTCCACACCAGCGTTTTATCTGCATATTAGAAACGATCTCCGTCCACATTAAAACGACTTAAAACGCGGATCACGTGACCATTCACCAACACTGGGCATGCGCGTGCCGGTGTAAACAGGGAATGACGAATCAGGGAAGGATACGTCAAGACTGATAACACCCAGAGCCAAGCGTCAGCCTCTGCGTCAGCGTTTCTGAAGTTCTCCGTTTTGTCTCGTCCACACTAAAACGCCCTCCGGATATCCAAAACGCAGCTGCAGCGTTTCTAAACTTCTCCGTTTTAGGTCTTCGTTTTAGTGTGGACCGGAGGTGCAAACATAGCAAAATGTCTCCGTTTTTAAACCAAAAAACGCAGTAGTGTGGACGGGGCCGTAGACGTCCTTCCGTTGACTCACTATCTTCCGGCTCAAACATGTATGGTTGAATTCCGTAGGTCACGGCCAATTCGGGTTCATTCAAAACTTGCGCCATGATGTTATTGTGGAATGATATACTGAAGTTACCTGCAGTGTCAAGCCCCCTCCTTCCTGCCACCAATCAACACGCCCCTCATTTGCATTATTAAAATGACCGTCCACGACAGCCAAAATATCGTATCAGGGGCTCGTTCTTCGTACGTCGCTAACTCAGTTAGCGGGATTTGATTGTTGCCGATTTGCCATGCTCTTGGATCATTTGGTTCTTCGACGCTCATCCTGGACTTGCTGTCATAGCAACAGGTCCATCAGCTTGAACCTGCTCGCGAGCAAGCTTATTTCATGTAAACAGGAGTAGATCGCGACTGATACGGGAAGTCCTTTAGCGCAGCGCGATAGTGTAGTAGCCTAATTTCTGAGATTTATTTATTTTTTTCTCGTGAAACGATCGTCGTGAGGGTGTCGTTTAATACATTATTATTTTGTTGGAAATGCACATTAATGTTCGATTCGATGTCGGGCTTCAACAACAGCACAAAATGTTAGCATTGCCCTAAAATTATTTGCGAGTGGCTTCCTTTACACTATTGGAGATGTGGATAACTTGATAAGCTTTCTGACATGCCATTCACAAAGTTTACCTAGCGCTCTTATTATTATTATTTTTTTGCCAACTTAGGGTATATTAGAATTTTTAATGAAAATAATGCAATGATGACCATGCACACATGGTCCCATCAAAGGCCTCAATTAAGGGATTTTGTGAGCAGAAAGTGGGCTTATGTAAATGTGCAGCCAAATTACTATTACAATTTCTAATATTCCAGATTAGGAATATTATATCACTTTTAAAAGGCAGTTGACTGAGTAAAATGTCTTAGATGGTGTGTGTGAGACCATGTTCCATATCACAAATCAGTGTGTAAGCAAAATGGCCAGGATCTGTGCATGACCCAAGAATTTTAAGAGATTCACATTTATGAACATTATTTGAACGTGGTAAGGAAAATTATAAATATCAAACTCACGGTTTTACATACACTTATGCTGAGAACTGCATTTTTCCATTATAGGTGATTACAACAGGATCTTGCATGGAGACAGGTGTTTTATGACCCCATTCCCTGACCTAAACCCCAGACCAGTTAAAATGCAGCTCTAGGACAAGGGCACACGATGAAATGAGCTTTGGCCAACTAAAGGGAAGATTTCAGGGTCTGAAAAGCCTGAGGGTTGCACCTGACAGGGCCTGTGACATTGCATGTGCCATATTACACAACACTGCCAACATCCGAAAAAAAAAAAAAAATGTTTTATTAAGCCTAAAATAAAAGACAAGATAAATTTGCAAAACTCTATTTGCTTAGAGTTTTATTTCAATAGTTATTTGTAAAGAAAAGCCAGTTATTCAGTCATCTTTTTAAAAGATATTATGCAAGGTCAGCAATAGTACTCTGTGTGAAATAGTGTAATTTTTTCTTAGTCAAGTTCTATTTATCCCCCTGATTTTTGTTGTTTCAAAATACTCTATTTTCTGTTGAAGACCCATATAGGGAACAAACCCTGTGTCGTTTGTGTCACACATGCCTCATGCAACAAATAAAAAGGAAAAGTTGTCTCTGCACTGGCCACCCCTGTATCACTGCTGTGTGCAGACTTTTCTGTAGGCCTTTCTTGTACATGTGGACTCCTGTCAGAAATAATAGGCATAGGCACAAGTAGAAATCAATTAAAGCCATCAATTAAATTAAAGTACTGAGTAAATTAATGTGATTGATAACTCATGGCAAAATATTTTTACATTAACATAAGTTTATCAGTTTTTACTTTCACAAGACAAAGCAATTTATCACTCAAGATTTAACAGTTGAAATGACTAAACCAGCCAATTTGGATTATAGGTCTACTTCATTTAATGCAACAACAAATTATTTCACAGTGTACAAAGATAATTTAAATCTCATTTCCCAAAGATGAAGGTGTTGCTCCTACTGGTCCCTGATGTGGGTCTGGAAGAGCTGAACCCAGGGATGCCCTTCACAACAGGGCAATTCACATCCAACTCAAGGGTCAGCTCTTCTGCCTGTTACATGTGTGTCCTGTGGTCCCCCATTCTTTGTGTATTTGGTTCAGTCCTGTTTCTATTTTCCCGCTCCTCGTTTGTATTCAGTCCCTTCACCTGTGTTAGGTTAATTTGCCCCAGCTGTGCCTTGTTCCCCTAGTCTGTTCTAGTGTATTTAAACCCTAAGTGAGATTCCAATTTGAAGGGCACAAACATGTTCAGTTCGAAGGGCACTGCAAACGGCATAGGGAATATCGATACATCACTTCACAGGAAGTCAGTGAAGTCCACTTCAACTGATATACCGTATACCGTGTACCCTGTCGAATGGAACGCACCTCCTGTGTTCTCCTCACTCCTGGTCCGTTCTTGTTTATGTAATGTGTGATATTGTGGTTCCTAAGTTTTGTGAATTAAATATCCTGTTTCCTGGTATTCCTGGGGCCTGTTTCAATAAGGAGGTTCAACCAACTCTGAGTTAAAACTTGAACTCTGAGTTGACTTACCCTGAGATGGGAAACTCTGAGTTTTCGGTTTCAGAACAGCTGAAATGAGTTAGTTCAATCAACTCTGAGTTGACTGACTCTGAGTTAAGCGTGTGCACCATAACTATAAAAAGCCATTATCAATGGAGTGCAGATATTATGAGTCACCATGGCAACAGCGCCAGACAAAAAAGAGGTCTGCATATTTCTCACCAGCAGAAGTGGATGAGCTTCTACATATGGAGAGTCCGAACATTATATAGTTCATAAGTTTACATTTTAATTACTGTTATACAGTGATGGGTGTAATTAATTACCAAGTAATTACCAAGTATAACGTAATTAATTACGTTACGTTATAGGCTAGTTATACTGTTTACTAACGTCAACGACTATGACAAACTTGTTGTTGAACGTTTGTTGTTTCAAATTTTGAAATGGCTATTTGCGTGGGGTTTTTGTCGATGTAAACGAGTTAACTTTAGCTAACCGTTCCATTCACAGTGTTTCCGAAAATGAGTGTTTTACCGTGAAATTGATGCATCAAACGGGTCCGACCGAGTGCGGTGCGAAGAAAATCGTGTCCGTTGGTCATCCGGATGCGTTAAAAAATTTGAACTCGTGCGAAAATCTACGGACGGTTCCTATCCGACAATTCCAGCGGAAGTTGACCGTTGCTATGGTACTGATAAACAAACCTGAATTATTAACTTTTAATAAAATAAATAATGATTTTATAACGATAAGTTGTCATGTCATTTTTTATTTTCATGACTTTCTAACATTTATAAGGGCAGTTAATACAATTAAATTGAAGGTAGACATTGAACTATTGACCACTATATCACATTTTTTAGCCAACCTGACATGTCAACGTCCTCAGCAACTTTCCTCACGCAGCATAACCCTCATCAGAGAGATCATACAGAACTGACAGAATCAACTTTTAATCTCTCCGCCATCCGACGCTTTTCACTGTGTAGTACGACATCCGATGGGAACATATTACGGAGCTGATTTAAACTGCCAGTGTGAAGGCAGCGATAGTGGTGACCAATGATGTGCGTGATTTTCAGCTAATATATTTTTGCATTCTCAATGAACAGTCCTAGATTATATTATGAAGGTTGAAGGTTACTCCTCCTCAAGTCTGAACCAAATGGATTTGCTGAAATAAAGGCAGTAAATCAAGGATATGGTGTTCAGTGTAGTAATTTCCACATAAAACATTATATTGTGTTAAATAAATGTTAACTCTAAGTGTGTTAAACTAAATATGTTACTTTTTTTACACTGGTAATGAGTTCATATAATTATTTTTAGAGTTACATTTACTCTCCGTAGGATTAGTATTTCAACTCCATAAAGAGTTACATTTTAACTCTGAAAAAGTGTTAAATTCAACTCCATGAGCAGAGTTATTTCAACTCTGCGCTGGAGTCTATTTGATGGTCTCGCATGTACACTCAGATTGAGTTGATTTTAACTAACAGGGAGTTTATTCCAAAAACCAGAATTTGCTGTGTATGGAGGATCCAGCTCTCAGATTTAATCAAAAATATCTTAATTTGTGTTCCAAAGATGAACGAAGGTCTGACAGGGTTGGGACAACATGAGGGTACATAATTTTCATTTTTTGGGTGAACTATCTCTTTAAGTGAGTAATGTGATGTAATAAGTGTAATAATAGTGAGAATAGAAACGAGAAGATTTATTGTTATTAAGTCACTTTATTTGTCATTAATATTAAATTGAAGTTGCCTTTACATGCTTAAAGGAACACTCCGACTTTTTGGGACTTTAGCCTATTCACCTTACCCCCCAGAGTTATAAGTCCATACATACCTTTTTCATCTCCGTGTGTGCTATAAGTCTGTTTGACGCACCCACCGCTAGCCTAGCTTAGCACAAAGACTGGATGTGACTGGTTGCAGCTTTCATACTAATCCAAATGAGTGGCAAAATAACGCAAACGTTTTCCTATTTACATGTTGTGATTTGTGTACAAATACAAATAACAAAGTCAAATGAGACACAGACATCTTTTAACCGTATAAAACCTGGGAACTATTCTCTGAAGGCGAAGCACTGCTACTTTGACGGAGTGATAACCGCATCACCTGAGACACGCCGTGGTGAGAAGAGTTCACTCAGAGTTTGGGTAACAGAGTCAGCAATTTATAAATAGTAAAAGCGTAGTTTACAGTCATGGGTTTTCGCTCTATTGTAAATAGCTGCGACAGTAAACAGGGGAGGTAATACCATGTTTCACAGAATTCCAACTAAAAACACTGACTGGAAGAAGAAATGGCTAACTTACTCTGGATATTGATCCAAACACACCTAAATAGATTATCAAGGGACATTATGTTTGCTCGGTACATTTCAATGAGGACGACTATTTTGAAAAAATGGAATTTGCCACACGGACCATAATGTGCTGAAGGATACGGCCATCCCATCGATAGCACAGGACAAGTGGATCACCTGCAGCTGAGGTAGTGTTCCGTTATGTTTTTAGATGACCAACTGTAACAGTGCCATTAGCCAGATCTAATGTAACGTTAGTGACACTATTATATGATTAGGGTATGAATATGTTTTTATCTTGATGCGGCGCGGACGCACTTGGAAAAAAACGAGCGCGTTCACCGCGTTGAACTTGCACCCTGCGCGCGGCGCGCCTAGGGTGATTCTCTGAATCGGGTGCCCTTCATGTCCCCCAAACTTGCTTCAAAGATTTTCAATTGAAGGAAATCACAAAATGCATTTTAATGCTGTCAATTAATATAACCAGGTGCCTTTGCATAATAATGCAACACAATTGCTTTAATTTTTTTATTTATTTAAAGATTTTGGGTTGCCTAAGTAGTAGACACCAAGCATTTTTGCATGTCCTCACTAACCATCATTACATTTTCATTGAATATCAAACAAATAAAAAGTGAAAATAATGATATGTTGGTCTACTTTAACTAAAATATACATATATATAAAAAAAATTATTAATTATATATGAAAATGCAATATTTATACACGTCCTCCAGTTTGTTTTCAACCCCGTCACGCCATAACATTTACCCCCCTATAAAAATAATGGATCAATCCCTGTGGCATGTCATCCAGGAAGTGACATCACACAAGTCTCTTGAAGAAGATGCTGCAAAGAAAGGCAAGTGTCAGTTTCTTTTCTTATCTATATTTCATGTTTTTCGCTGTCAGATTAAGATGGTCAGGCTCAACGTTTCAACTCTGTTGTATGACTTAATGATAGTAAACAACGGTTTAAGAAGAATTAAATAATAGTTTTGGAAAACATTACAATTTTATGATGTTCTAAATGCCATGTGGTGCTACTGTCTTAGCTAAGTAAGGAGCTATGGCTACTATTAGCCAAAAACTTCAACCCCGTCACATTCAACCCCGTCACATTTTTTATTGTAACAGGGTTGAATATTTGTGACGGGGTTGAATGTTCGAGACTTCTTAGATTACTCAATTGTAGACTTGTTGTATTGTGATATGAACTGTCAGAAATAATCGATTACGCTATTTTATTTTCAATATTTTCAGACATCACAATGGCAAAAACAGCAGCAGAGAGGCAAAGACAGTACAGAGCAAGAAGGAATGCAGACGCAGAGAGAAGGGAAAAATATCTCAGGAGTGAGCGGGAAAGGTGGAAAAGGGACACAGAGGCAGGGAAAAAGAAAAAAATAAGCAATCTGAGACCCCGTTTACACCTGGTATTAAAATGCGATCTGTATCCAGATAAGTTATCCGGATAATAAGTACTGATTCCATTTACACCTGGCCACATAAATGTGTTTTTGCAAAACGGATATAAATCCGATCTTCACCTCCTGCGCAGGGACGTGCACAGGAATTTTGAGGGGCAGTTGCTCTGACCTGAAAAAAGGGCACCCCCCCCCCCCTCCCCTCCTCACAGGCTATATGAAGGAATATATTCCGTTGAATTTGTCCCCTTCCAAATTCCAAACGCAATGCCTCATCTTATGGTCTTATTATTATTTATAAAGATTGCAAAATGTCAGAGATGAGACAAATGAGCAAAAGAGTTCCTCATATTGTTGTTTATTGTTTTTTAAATTATTATTATTTATTTATTTGAAAAGAAATAATCTGGATTGAAAGGAAAAACTCGAAAAAATTAAAAAACCGCTTAGATTTCGGGAAAAAATACAATCCTTTTTTGCTAAAATCCTGACCTTCCCCTGGGGCCCTAAGCAAAATTCTGCTAAGGGGCCCTCTACCTGATCTGTGATGCCGTGAGCCATGTAAACCATTTGCCATTGCCACTCAATACCGCCCAATACAATCCTCCCTCCTTAAAACAAAATAGTCAAAGAATAAGTACAACAATATAGACCATTTTGCAAGATGTAAACAACACTGGTCCAGAAACACTTCCTGTTTCAGTTTGTAACTGTTTTCTTTATTTCACATGTAAAGAAAACATCTTAAAGATGTTGTTTAACTTTTTGATTCAGTTTTACATGTTCTGTTGGTTGTATTTTATCCCAGCTTTTATGTAGTTTTAAAAAACTGAAACAGGACGTGCTTCTGGACCAGCGTTGTTTACATCTTGCAAAATGGTCTATAGAACAGAATGAGGTTCAAACAAACAATATTTACTGAATAAAGCATTTTTATAGAATGTTAAGATAACAAGTGAATATTAACGTAAACATAAATAAGAAGAAAATAATAAAGTACAACCCTGAAATTTGGCTTTTGGGATTAACTTTGGTTCACTCTACAGCCTGGGTATTTTCGGAATCAGTAGCCTATGATTTTTTTTATATTTAAAAAAAAAAATTATGCATGTTAAAGCAAATCTTGATTTATGGTTATTTACTGAGGAATTTGCATTCATATTGACCAAATGTCCAGCTAATCATCATTTTAAATTCAATATAGCCAATAAATCAATAGTCAATCAATGTCAAATTGCCAATACATTGGTTTCTATCTTGCATAATTAGTGCAATTGTTTAGAGTTTTTACTGAGCCTAGATAATCAGTGTCTTTAAAATGTGTACTTTGATTGGGAGTGCCATCATTCACGTATTGTACAGTATTTCTGGTCTCCACATTTC